TATGAACATAAATCTGCACAAGAAATGTTGAAGGCTCAATTTAAAGATAAACTTGTGAATACTTTTCCTAACGTTCACATTGCATTAAGAATATATTTGTCGATTCTTAAATCAAATGCAGAAGGAAAAAAATCTTTCTCCAGATTAAAATTGATAAAAGATTATTTGCTTTCAACAATGAATCAAGATCGTTTGGCATCGCTCGCACTTATGTCTATTGAATCCGACATTCTGTGTAGTTTGGAATTCGATAGCATAATACAAGATTTCGTTGAATCCAAAAATCGCAAAAAAGTAATATATTAGATCATAAGATTCTGCAAAATAATTTATTACCGTAAAATATTATATTTTTATTTGTATCTTCATAATTTTGTGCAAAATACACTTGTTGTTTTTAAAGCTAAATTATTTTTGTCAACAAATTTTTTTCTCCCAAGTTTTTCGTAGGCCCCTGAATTTCGTAGGCCCTAGGCACGTGCCTAGTGTGCCTATAGGTTAATCCGGCCCTGGCTACACTAGATACAATATGGCACGATTCAATTGTTCTTTCGTCAATATGGAACAACTGTGGTTAATGACACAGTGACAGGAAAATTAGGCGTCTTTCATTTTCCCACAAGACGGGGCATCCCTTCCATTATCAGGCAGACGTTCAGGATTTATTAAATAATGAGCCTGCTCGTCGTTGGATTGGACGAATGTCGGACGACGGCAATCAACTTTTTTCACGGACACCATGCTCTACAGACTTAAACTCCCTGTGATTTTTTTTTATGTATTTACATCTTTAACATTTGCGTGTTCGTGCCCTCTATGTCAGCATTGATCGTGACCTGTTGCAGTGAGTTCGGCAAGAATTTGACATTGTAACTGGCGTTTTATTCCTGGTGGCGGAATATAGCCCTACCAGCTTCCGATCCATGGGTACCCATTTGTCTGGGAATTAAAAGCGGTATGCGAGCAATGCTGCCTACATTGCAATTGCTTTTTAGATCACCATGATGATAATCTAACCGCTTAAGCTTGGGCCATTGATTGCTGTTTGGTTTGTTGGTGCTAAGGCCGGCGTCCATCTTAACCTTTGGATGTCAATATTTTTGTAAATTTCGTGTAATTCTGTATTTATTCTTCTCCAAATTTCATTTTTTTGTACAACTCCAAAAATATTTCTTAAAATCTTTCTCGGAAAAGTTACCTGGGTTTCTTTACCTCTTTTCATCAATATCCAAGTTTCAGTTGTGTAAGTTAAAACAATAATGTTGCAGAATATTTTGACAAGTACAAGAATTTAGAACTTGTTAAAACATTAAGCAATATGTAGTTTGTCATTAAAATAAAGAAATTTTAAGGTTAATTTATTACTGTACCATTATTGCTGTTTATTTCTTAGTTAAAAACATGTCAATTCTGTAGTATTTATCGTTCTGCTTAAAGAAATTCATATTGTAATATTTTTTTTCTTTCTTTGAATTCAAAACACTAAGAATCCACTGTAATTATAATGTAATTTGATAAATATTTTTTTTTTAAAAATAGTCATTTGTGATGGCTATATTTACCTTTAGTTTGGAGATTTGGGTTATATGAGCGCAAGGGTGTATTTTGCTCATGGGATTTAAGGGGTGTTGAAGGCGTCGAACTGTATTTGCTGGGCTCTGTTTTCCTACTAGGCAGAATGTATTTTGGCAAACCTCGGTAAAACCAAGCTCCTGATTTCTTCCAAGTCTGCAAAATAAAATAAAAAAATTCTGAAAAATTAAATAAGCTTGAAAGTATCATTGATATGCTTTAGTATCATTAATACGCTTGAGATTAGCATTATGCTTGAGTATCATTGATACGCTTGAAGAAAAGGCTCTAACCTTCATTTCTTATTTCAACGTTAATTTCAGTGAATGAAGAATGCATACGAAATTGATCTACGCATTTCGGAAATTTTAAATTAAGCTTAAGATTAACATTATGCTTGAGTATCATTGATACGCTTGAGATTAACATTGCTACGTTTGATAGCAACTTGATACACTTGAGTATTATTGATACACTTGAGAGTAACATTGATTCGCTTGAGTATCATTGATATGTTAACGAGCATCATTGATACGCTCTAAGAAAATGCTCTAACCTTCATCTTTTATTTCAACATTAATTTAAGCGAATGACGAATGCATACAAAATTGATGTGCACATTTCAGAAATTTTCAATTAAACTTGAGATTAACATTATGCTTGAGTATCACTGATACGCTTGAGATTAACATTGCTACGTTTGATAGTAACTTTGATATACTTAAGTATTATTGATACACTTGAGAGTATCATTGATATGCTAACGAGTATCATTGATACGCTTGAAGAAAATGCTCTAACCTTCATCTTTTATTTCAACATTAATTTCAGTGAATGAAGAATGCATACAAAATTGATGTACACATTTCGGAAATTCTCAATTATATTTCGTTATATTTTACACAGATAATTAACACATAATGATTTCCGCTATTTTATTTTTTAAATATGCGATAGCAGAGCTGAACTTAAAAGCTAGCTATTTTTTTAAAAATTATACCAGAGATGCCAACTTGCTCCGGACAGCAAATATATATTTAAAGTGGTGGTTTATCAGTTATGATTCTTGGTTTAATAAATTCAATTTAGTAGACTTTTATCCACCACTATTTCTAAATAATCCGCAGGCTTATATAATTCACCGCTTTGTAGTACGTATGCCATGGTATGCCTTTTAAAAAGCAAGCAAAAATAGTCAAATATTTGCAAAATTTACTTAGTAGTTATCTACCGGTTTATTAATTATTTTGGCTTGTCCGGAGCAGTTGGCATCTCTGATTATACTGAAGAATTATTTCGAAATTTATAAGTAAATTAAAATTCAAGTAACTAAATTTAGTTACTGATATTAGTAGCGAATAATAGATTTGGAATAAAGATTTTTGTAATGTAAATATACATTTGCTCCTTTGCCAACCGTAGAAAATAGGTGCTGCAATATTAAGCTTGATTCATGCAAAAATTGATCACTAAAGAGGAAATGAGGTAAAATTCGCATGATAGGCAAAATACTAAATTGAAATTTCTCAAGATATCGACTAACTTCGGCGAGGAAAAAGTTTACAACAAGTTTGTTTCTTAATTTATTGTACTCAAGTGAAACTAAAATTTAAATATATCTCCAAATTTTATGATTTATTGCTAGGAGAATAAGTGTAAATCGCTCCTGAAACACATGTTCAACCTACACTCACCGATTCACGTATTACGTACAAGCACAAATATATCGCCAATATAAAGAGTTTGACGATATTCCATTTCATTTCCAAAAAGAAGCAAACTGAGTCTTTTCTTCGTTTCCTGCTTCCAAATAACTTATATCAAAGAGCTCCCATATATCTCAAGGGATAGAGGGTTCGTCTCCCAATGAGGTGGCCAATGGTCGATCCAGCGATTTTGGTCCATACGAATTTTATAGCAGGCTTGCATCAATCATAGTGCAAACGTAAAATATCCTCAATTGTAGACGTTTCATGGCTTGGAATCACCTTATCGTCGAGCTAATCGTATGAGGTTTTCTTAGTTTCCCCTTCATATAATGCAAAGACAGGTGAGTTTTATGAAAAGCTTGCCCAAATGTTTAATCCAGGAGTTCCCTTTTGATCTGGGTTGAGTTCTAAATTACAAGGCTACAGAGTTAAGTCGTAAACCCAAAAATGGGTCAGCTGTTAAACTTTAATGAAACAGAATGCTGAAGTCATTACGCCACGTCAATATCTAGAAGAAATGAAAACAAATAATTGCTCTGAGGCTTACTGTGTAATCACCATTGAATCCAGGGTTAGAAATCTGTTGTCATCAAGTTGACCATGAAAGTTCAAGTGGTTGTAAAATCAAACCACTTGCCTATTGAGGGTGAGTTATACTTTAGTCTTTTTCGATCATATTTATCGCATTTTTCCAACGATAAGATCTTTGTATTTGAAAACGAGAGTTCAAAATCACGAGTTAATGAGTTCTAATGAGTGATAAGTAAGGAATAGAATTTTAAGTGATGTGCGATTTATAGATTAAACGCTTAATGTTATAAGATGGTGACAATAGGCACTAAAAAAATTCATAAGGATTAAACACCTGTTTTCCGCTTTGCTTTATGGATTTAATATTGAAAGAAAGCAATCAACAGATTACAGTTAACATAACATACTGCATAACATACTATAAATAATACACTGTTCTGTTCATTACTAACTATAATTAAGGTATTAGTGACGTACCTCTCTCGTCTCAGCACAGATTCGGCACAAAAACAGCGGTTCTTTATGAGCACTTAATGTTTCTAAACCACATTTTGAGCAGACCGCCTGTAAGAAAAAGGAAAACAAATTGAAGTGCAAAAAAACTTAAAATTGTCCAATTATCTAAAGTTTAAAAACAAGAACTGAAACAAAATCGGAACACCGGAGTAAAATTGAAAAGTTTACCGAATAAAATATTAACTAATCCCCCCCAACACCCATAAGTTTGGGATCATAATGAAACAGCCATAAATCTGGGATCATAATGAAACACCCATACATCTGGGATCATAATGAAACTCTCCTATCTCTGGGGTAAAAATGAAACACCCATATATCTGGGATCAAAATGAAACATCCACATAATGCAGCACCTATATATCTGCGATCATGATGCAACACCCATAAATTAGGGATAATAATGAAACACTGTGGAGAAACTGGAACTAGTAACGCCCCCTAGCGAGAAACTAGATAAAAAACTCAGAGACAGAGAGTGAGTGGTAGCGAACGAACGGTAGAAAGCCTGCCATGCAGAGCTCCTAATTTTCTTCTTCATATATGTTTTATATGTTTTGTTTGTGAATGTGTTGAGTGCTAGCTATAGTCATGTTTTATAAAATAAATAAAAGTTAGCTAGCCGTTGTTTTAATTCCCCCCTAAGCACCACACGTCACAACACTTATAAATCAGGGATCATAATGAAATACCCATAAATCTGTGATCGTAATGAAATAAACATATATCTGGGATCGTAATGAAAGCATTCCTTTACAAACAACGTTGAAAAAATATGAGATAATAGCATCACATGAAAAAATAATAGTATTAGCCAAAAGTGAAGATAAGTAATAAAAAATGGTAATCCTATTACGAGCAACTGTTTGGGTAATTTAGCAACTCTATCGGCAACTCCGAACTGCGAAATTGCCTTTAGAGTTGAGGCTCTTATTTTTCTCTCCTGTGATATCCGTATTATTTAAAAGAGTCTGAAAAGGTCAATAGGTCTAAAAAGTATATTAGGTCCGTTTTTGGCGACGTCGCATTTTGTAGCCATCCAGTCATCAACATAAGACCACAATGAGGCTTTTAATTGTGATTCCACCGTGTAACGCAGATTTGACATATTCTCGTCAAAACTATGTCACACGCTGACCGTGTTAAGACGTGAATATACCACATCTTTGTCACTCGGTGATCCTGGTGAGACGTAAATATGTCGCAGTTACGTCATAACTTGACCCTTTCGAGATGTGAATATGTCACACCTTAAACGACGGCGTCTCTGTGACAAATAAGTGTCTGATTGTAGTCTCATGTTGACGTCGAGTGATATCCGTATAAAGATCAAAACCACAGACGTGTGCATAAAATTGCCAACAAATAACATAGCGTCAAATAACCTTAAGCATCAATACGTGACGTGAAATAGACGTGTCCTTTAGGACAGTGCTGTGAAATTTGGCTGTAATTGGACATGGCAGCAGCAGCCTTTACTAACAGCGCGACATCAGGTCAAGTGCCTCTCCTGACTATATTGGTTGGACTCTACATGACTGAAAAACTGTAGCCTGGTCAGATGAGTCGCGATTACAGCTGGTGGGAAAGATGGATGACAACAAAACTCACTTTTTCACAATCTTTGCACAGCTGTGACTGTCCTAGTATTCCGAATTCTTCAGCACAAAGAACGCACTGCGTCGATCCATTCCCCATAGCATTCTTTTTCATATTGTCCAATCTATCAACAAGTCTCCTGAAAAAATACACACAGATAATGCTTTATCATTAGCAGTGTTTAAGACGTGGATACACAACTAGTTACCAACTTGCCCCATTTAGTAAAAAAATATTTTTAAGTTGTAACGATATTTTTCCACCACTACATATCAAAAATTTAAAGTATCAACTTTATTGTACGTAGCTTATGGGGACAGTTTAACGCCTCAGGGTCTGATCAGGGGTAAGCTAATCCCTGTAACGTAAGTGAAGACTGCTACCTGGCACGAGTGGTAATTACCAGGACGGCCGGGTCTCTACTTTAACCCTTTCGTGCCGACTGTCACAAATACGCGCCAGCATAAAACCGTATTAACCAGGGTAAAAAGATAAAACTGGTAATCAAAGTAATTCTTTAGCAGTTTATTTGTGGGCGGAGTTATAATTGTTTGATTTATTTAATTCACTATTACTTTGTTCAAAATAAAACTATTTAACTATACTTTGAATCAACATTGATTATATATATGATTAAACTAACAATAATTAAAGTAAAAGCGAAGTAAGTCTGTCAAATTAGCAACGACTACATTTAAGTTACCGTTTTTTATTTAATTACAACTTGATTCTGACTTTGTACGAATGCTTTTCTGAATCACCTGTCCCCAAGGGGTTAACAGAGACGCACTTACTTACACATATACACACATACCCTCCAACTTATGAGGATTTTGAAAATAATTCTTTCTAGTGGTAGCGAACCAAAGTAGAAATTTTTAAAGCAAATGGATCTCTCATAAAACTTTTATCAGAACTTAAGAATCTAGCCATATGGCCTGCACTTTTATAAGTAATAGTGGACAAGTTACGCTAAAATAAATTTTTTTTAAATATTAAGACATTAATTTTGCTACCGTCTGAAAAGAAGATTTCTGAAACTACGGAAATTCCGTAGCAGTTGGAGGGTATGTATACTCACATCCTCACATTCCTTAAAACCGCCCCTCTTTTATATGTATTCCCAAACTGTAGTTCTGTAAATATTCATTAGTGTTTATTTTCTCATTGTACTTAAATTTTACCTTTTTTTCATGTACTTTTTTATCACTTGTAATTTTTTTATTACCTAATAATGGCAAAGTGCCATTTTTTTTCCTCTCGCGAACTCCATTTTGTTTCCTAAACTTTATTTTTGTCTTGTATGTTTCTTAGTCTAATTTCGGGATGAATGGGAAAAGGGCCGTAAGGCCTCAGACACCCAATTCCACTAGAACGAACGAACGAAATATGGGGACAGTTTAACCTCTTCGAGACGGGAGAGTCATATATGCATTCTCAGGGTGTCGATAATCAGGGTAAAAAAAGATAAAAGTGGTAGATAAAAGTAGTGGTAAAAGCAGAGATGCCAACTTGCTCCGGACAGCAAATACATAATTTAAAGTGGTAGTTTATCAAATATGATTCTTGGTTTAATAAATTCAATTTAATAGATTTTTATCCACCACTATTTCTAAATAATTCGTTGGCTTATATAATTCCTCACTTTATAGTACTTAAGTCATGCAATACCTTTCATAAAGCAAGCAAAAATAGTCAAATATTTGAAAAACTTACTTTACAGTTATTACCGTTTTTTTAATTATTTTGTCGCGTCCGGAGCAGTTGGCATCTCTGTAAAAGTAGTGGTTTATAGCAGTTTATTTGTGGGCGGGGTAATAATAGTTTGCTTTATTTAATTCACCACTACTTAGTTTGAATTAAAAATTGTATAGTTACACTTTTAATACACCAGGATTGGATGTGTTAGATTTAAAGCGAAAGCAAAGATAAGTCAGCCAAATTAGCTATGTCCAAACTTAACCTCTTGGGGACGGGTGATTCAAAAAAGTATTCGTACAAAATCAGAATCGGGATGCAATTAAATAAAAAACGGTATTATTTCTAGTAAAGGTAAATTAAAGTATTTTTTGAATTGAAATTGATTTAAGAATAGTAATTGACATAAGAAAGAAAAAACCCATTTAGTTTATAAAAAGGCAAATTTGTTTGGTGGTAAATATATTTAACACGACCATATATTAATTATTGACTTTTATTTTGCTTTATTTATAAAATAAATTTTATAAATGCTACAAACTTCAAAAGGAATTATGTATTTTATAACTTTTATACTCTTTTTTGAACTAACAAATGGTTACCAATTTTATTCAAACGCACTTCAAGAAAGCTGAAGTTATTAACAAATGGAAACCTAAATTAAAAGTGGTGGGAAGTATACTTCGTGGGGCCTACGAAAGGGTTAAATAGCATATTTATGGTCCGCCTTTAACATTTTAAGACTGAGTCGTGAAAATCCGATCATTAGAATCAAAAGTTATTCAGCGGGGTTCGTTTTTTTTTATTTTGCGCACTTTAGGTTTGAATTACAATGGGGAACAAGTTTTTTGTTGCATTTATACAAATACTTGACCTCACCTAATTCGGATGTGGGAATTTCAAAACTGAAATTATTGTTGCTCCGAAAACTACATTTCTCTTAAAAATATACTTATAGTTTAGTTTATGCTTTGTCTGAATGCACAAGTTAAAAAGCAAAGCCTCCACACGGTTTCTTATAGGTAGACTGATCAGACCACCGTGAAGGTAAACCAGTTCACGAAAGAGCTATTTAATACAAAATCTAATAAAAAGAAGAAAGTGGTAGAAAATATATGTCTAAAATTTGTTTAATTTATGTAGGGGAGAGTCGGGTAGCTCCGCCCAGCGGGTACCCCCGCCCAACGTCAATTGCATATGTATAGAATATTTTCTCAAGTCAATGTGCCATCGGACATTAATTGTTATATTAAAAAGAGATTATTTTCAAAGTTTCAAGTATTTATGCAGCTGTTAACATGGTAAACAATAGTTTTGAAAATATGTTGAATACAGTATTCATGAAGTTAAGAAAAATTGGTTGAATGTTTCGTTTATACTTCATTTTAATACTTATAAAATAATTTTTTCTATACATACAGCATTAAAGTATGTAGTCTTAGGTTTAATTTGCACGAAGAAAGAAGTTTATTTTTGAAAAATTGTTCGAGTAATTACAAATTTACAAAAAAATTGAATTTCGGGTAGCCCCGCTCACATGAATG